GAGTACCATGCGGACACCGTAATACAGCAAAACCCTCAAAATCCTCTTATCCCTCAACTATGTACAAGATATAGACAACAGTGCGATACCGATACAGTAATGCAGCAAAACCCTCATATGCCTCAACTAAATCGAAACTACATAGAACAGCAGGATACGCATACCGTAATACGGAAAAACCCTCACCTAAATGGAAAATACAGAGAACAGTACGAACGGTACTGACGCTGTAATACAGGAAATATCCCTAAAGTAAATAGCAAACACAGATAAGAGTACGGCGCGGATACCGTAATGCAACATAACCCTCCAAACCCTCTTTTCCGTCAACAATGTACACGATATAGAGAACAGTACGATACCGATACCATAATACAGCAAAACCAACTATGTAGAAGATATCGAGAACAGTAGGATACGGATACCGTAATACAGAAAAAGCCTCATAATCCTCCAATCCCTCAACCAAATACAAAATACAGATAACAGTACGGCACGGATACCCCAATACCCTCAAAATCCTCTTATCCGTCGACTATTTAGAAGATAAGGAGAACAGTATGATACGGACACCGTAATACAGAAAAAGCCTCGAAATCCTCCAATTCCTCAACTAAAGAAAAAATACAGATAATAGAACGATACGGATAGCCTAATACAGCAAAATCCTTAAAATCCTTTTCTCCCTCAACTAAATGGAAAATACAGAGAACAGTACGACACGGATACCGTAATATAGAAAAACTCTCAAAATCCTCCAATCCGTCGACTAAATAAAAAATATAGATAAGAGCGCGGTACGGATACCGTAATACAGCAAAACCTAGAGAATCCTCCAATCCCGGAACTAAATACAAAATACAGATAAGAGTACGATAGGGATACCGTAATAGAGCAAAACCCTTAAAATCCTTTTATCCGTCAACTATATACAAGATACAAAGAGCATTATGATACAGATACCGTAATATACAGAAAAAGCCGCAAAATCCTCCAACCCCTCAAGGAAATAAAAAATACAGATAAGAGTACGATAAAGGTACCGTAATGCAGCGTAACCCGCAAAATCCTCTTATCCGGATGGCGTAATATAGGAAAACTCTGAGAATCCTCTTGTCCGTTAACTATAATGAAATATATGATGGAAATGATATTTTTCCAGGGGCATAGAGCTGAACAAACGATATCAAAATTTATTATTAGCCAAATTAATGTTCATCTAAAATGGAATTGATGTGTACGACTGATATTCTGTATGACGATTGTTGGCTGTATAGCTATGAAAGTTTTTATCGAGTGCGTCATAATGATTAAATTCTGGGAGTAGCAGTGCTTTGAGTAAAAGTCCCGTAACTTCAATAAAACAAACGGTTTTTCGATCGCATTTGTTTTGTTTTGATCACGAATGATTGCTTTTCTATCACTGATTCTGAAATCAAAACATCGATCGGGTTTTCCTTTTCTTACTTCGGGATAGTGCTGAAAATGAGGAAAAAGTTTTGAAACTTAGTTCTCCAGCCCACCATGTGCTCTAGAAAACATTTTTCACAGGCCAGAGAAAACAGCATGTTCAGAAGTACAAAACGAACTGAGTTCTCGCTTTTGCTAAACTCTTTTCCGTGAATAATTGCTGAAGAAAAAAGTCAAGTCGAAAAAGTACCAACTATAAAAAGTTTTCATTTTTTTCGCCGTGTTTCCTTGATTAAAGTTCTAAAATTAAGGTATAGGTATGGGTTTCCAGAATATTTCGTGGCGTATCTTTTACCACTAACCGCGAGAAAAATACAAAATACTCAGAGGCTCATTCATTATGATGCACTCGACAGAAACTTCAATAGTTCTACGGTCAATAATCGTCATACGGAACCTCAGTCATACACATTAATTCCATTTTACATGACCATTAATTTTACATCATCTGTAGTTTCAGCTCTATTCCCCGGGAAAAATATTATTTACAACCGTGTAGAAGACATAGAGAACAGTACGATACGCATACCGTAATACAGCTAAACTCTCAAAATCCTTTTATCGGTCAACTATATAGAAGATATAGACAACACAAGGTACGGATACCCTAACACAGCAAAGCCCTCAAAATCCTCTTATCCTTCAACTATGCAGAAGATATAGAGAACAGTACGATACGGATACCGTAATACAGAAAAGCCTCCCTCAACTAAATGGAATATACAGACAAGAGGACGGTAGGGATACCGTAATACAGCAAAACCCACTCTTCCTATCCCCCAAGTAAATAGAAAACACAGAGAACAGTATGACACGGATGCCGTAATACAGCAAAACCCTCAAAATCCTCCAATCCCTCAACTAAATAGAAAATACAGAGAAGAGGTCGGTAGGGAAACCGTAATACGGCAAAACCCCCAAAATCATGCAATCCTTCAACTAAATAGAAAATACAGTAATTAAGAACACGGTACGAATACCGTAATACAGCAAAACCCTCAAAATCCTCTTAGCGGTCAACTATATAGAAGATATAAAGAACAGTACGACACGGATACCGTAATACAGAAAAACCCTCACAATCCTTTTATCCCTCAGCTAAATAGAAAATACGGAGAAGAGTACGGTATGGATACCTTAATAGAGCAAAACTCTCATGTCGCTCAACTAGATAGAAAAAAGAGGGAACAGTGCGATACGCATACCGTAATACGGCAGAACTGTCGAAATAATCACATCCCTCAACTAAACGGAAAATATCGATAAGAGTACGGTACGGATACCGTGATACAGCAGAAGTCTCATCTCCCTCATGTAAATGGAAAATACAGATAAGAGAACGATACGGATGCCGTAATACAGGAAAACCCTAAAATCCTCTTGTTCCTGAACTAAATAGAAAATACAGAGAACTTCTCTGTATTTTCTATTTAGTTGAGGGATATGAGGATTTTGAGGGTTTTGCTGTAATACACCCTCCGTACCGTACTGGGCCAGTACGGTACGGAGGGTGTATTACAGCAAAACCCTNGTTTATTGTTTGTGTTTTTTTTCACTACACCAACTGTACACTACGGTTACCCTACGGTACGGGTTGTGTTTAACCGCAAAACCCTCAAAATCCTCATATCCCTCAACTAAATAGAAAATACAGATAAGAGTACGGTAGGGATACCGAAATACAGCAAAATCCAGAAAAATCCTCTTGTCCCTGAACTAAATAGAAAATTCAGAGAACAGTACGGTGCATATGGCGTAATACAGCAAAATCCGAAATAGCGTCATATCCGTCAACGAAATAGAATATACAGATAAGAGTACGGTAAGGATACTGTATTACAGCAAAACGCTCGAAACGCTCGTATCCCTCAGCTGTATAGAAGATATGCAGAGGAAGAGTGCGATGCGGATGGCGTAATACAGCAAAATCGTAACGGGTCCATGGACAGCGTCATGCACCAACAACGAAAGCTTGATTAGCCTTGATCATGCTTGGTGTTTGAGAAGGTAAAATGCAGCGGGGAACACTCAGACAGCGACTAAGACCAAGCGAGGACGAGAACTGGAAACAGTGCTTTTGTATTGCGTTTTGTGTGAATTGGTGGTATCCAAGTAAAACATAGTGGAATCAATCGTAGGCTACAAAATAGTAGGTGGAAAAGTGGGGAACCAGTGCGTACCGGTGCAAGATAGTGTCTCGTGCGCACTGGTAGTACCGGTCATTTTTCCGTACTGTACTGCGATCTTTTTGTAGGAGAGTCGATGCTGTTTTACTTAAGAATCTTACGCTTCCTTCCCTTACAGATTTTTTGAATTAAGCGACTGGCAAATCCTGTATCAGACGTAGCATCTTCTCGTACTCATCGATGATACAGTCCTTTGAGTGCAAAAGAAGGACATCTGATATACAGTCAGAACGTTGTGTCAGCTGACAGTGGCAAGAGTGGTACACAGGTATTACATTCAAGACGCACGTCTTTAACCTGATCCAGACGGTATTTCGGACGTTTTTCTGAAAGCTTTTTCGAAAAAACAGACTGGTCTGGACGTAAAGCTTGATGTGACGTCCAGCCATACTAACAGACGACGCGTTTGCCGTTACGACATAATTAGAGGCACGTATGCCGTCAAGACGGGCAGCATGACTGTGTTGCAACGGCGCGACCGTCACCATAGTCTTGACTATACACAGGACACGCGACCCGATGGGCGTCATTTTAACTTTTTGGATCTCTTCATCCTTAACCGGCACCTTGACTAGCGTCAGGGAGTATGTCAGAACGTACTCTCGTACATTTCAAAAATATTGTCATTTTCCAGACTAGTCTGGACGGGATTCTCGGACATTTCGGACTAGTCCGAACGACAGTCAACCGCTTTGTTTTCTTTACCTGGTGATCGAGTTAGAAAACATTTAAAAATTTCCGGGTTATTTTGACCAAAACTTTCATAAAGAATTTCGAAAAACTTTCAAACTTCAAGTTGGAAGTTCGATTTTGGCTTTTTTCGATACAACATATCAGCAAGTCTATACACAAATAGTTACAGCGGTAAGGAGTGAGAGTTAGCCGTAGAATTTCAAAATTTACTTGGAAAACAAGGTTTTGGTTGGTGCAAAAAGTAAGTTTTGAGGGTTCCTACTCGCTGTCGCTTCAGGAAAGCGGTTTGATGGATATGTCTGGGGAAGTTCCAAAAATTGGCCAAAAGCTCATGTAAGAAATTCACTTCTGGAATTTGGAATTTGATTTGTTTCATGAGGGTCATCGTTTACTATTGCAGAGAATATCGTCCGGACTAGTCCGAAATGCCCGAGAACCCCGTCCGGACTAGTCTGGAAAACGACAATATTTTTGTGTCAACAATTTTTTATTGCGTTTTATGTGAATTGGTAGTATTTCTTATGAACTGCCTTGGTAACTAGTGTAAGTAGTGGAAAAAAAATAATATAAAACGATGCACAGAAAAAATAACGAAAAGAAAACAAAATCTGTTTGTAAAAAGAAATTTTTAAAGTTTTTACTTCATTTTGGTTAATTAATGTTTTCTAAATAATTCAGATCATCATCCGGTATATGTGAATAGAATTTTCTTCGTAACTGCGAACTGGAAACACTCTGAAGATATGGCAGGAAGCGTATTGGCATTAATTCTTCTATAACCTGTCGTGCAGGAAAATCAATCATATCATCACCTCTAACATACAGTGCCGATTCATTTTCTTTCAGGTGTACCATACATGAAAGAAATGTTGATGGATCTGTTCCATTAATACAATATACTTGATCAGCATACTCTTTTACACTTAACATTCGTTTTTCTGTACCATCTACCGGTACACGATTCTTTAATTTCCAAATACTACGACTATTATGTACACCAACAACTACTTCTCTTCCATATTCACGCATTCTTTGCAATAGTAAACGATGACCTTCATGAAACAAATCAAAGCATCCAACTGTATAAACTAAAATAATAATAAATCATATAAACCGAAAATATATATCTGTGTTTAAGGTGGAAGGGTGGGAGTTCAGTCGTTCGGATTTTTGTCTCAGTTTGTGGAGCACACCTCGAGCACCAGTATATATATATATATATATATTATGTACGTTTATATCACGTGGAGCAATCTATCCTGTTCTAACATTTTTCTTCATACGAAGAAACATCCATCTTATAAACCTATATATATATATACTCTCGCGCCACGTGCATGATTGACGATACCAACGTTTTTTTCTCATTTTAAACGAGTGACAGTGAGAAACAGTGCCTGTTATATAAGGCACTTTATTTCTTAAAGTAGACTACTTTTATACCCGAACTTTTTGCAGTAGAACTAAATCATTAAAATAACCAGTTTAAACAATAAGTACACAGCGCTTGCAGTGAGTGAGAGAATAGGCATATAGAAAATCCTTTCTATTTTACTATCACACAGTTTCAGTTTTTCTGCATTCATATTCGATATCGAAAATGGTTCTTCTTTCTCATGAACCACTTTAAATATAGGGACTTTCTCAGTGTATAGACTCAGTTAATGTTTGCTGTGTAAAGATCTCAGAAAAAAACTGCACAGAAGTGAGAAATGCATCAAAGATTCATGTTATAGGAATTATGAGTATCCTCGGTGTAATATCGCTTTGCTGTTAGTAACTCTCGGGATGCAGCTATGATCAGTCCGGTTCTGTTTGATGCACGGAGAATTGTGGCTCAGCCATTCCATCTCATTCGCAGAATATTAGATTCTAATGACGAACTGATCTTAGCGATAACATCTACAGATATACACCCTCTGAAAGTCCAAGCGTGAACGTTTCTTCACATATAGCAAACGCTACCTTACGGTAAAACCCATAGGCGAACATTTGTAAACTGTAAAACATTTAACCGCCCTCACTTTTATTCTAAGATCAGATGCCAGTTGTATGGCAAACGCTTGACGGTAGCCGCAAGGCGGGCTATACTTCTTCTTCCTTGTTCTTCTGATTCTAACAGGTGTAACAGCAACCAATACATAAGTCCCAGATCCCCCAGAGTTTTCTTCAATGCTCAACAAATTTAACCTAATGAATGTGCGCCACCTCAGAGCAAATACGAACAGCTTAGCATAAAATACACATATTGTTACGAATGTTAGCCGTCGTTTGTTTACCTGGGTCAAACAATACCCGAAACGTATGAAACCTTCAAAAGATTTGTTTAAAGGCATCCTCTACAATGTGACAAAATTTTGAGCGAAATTAACTGAATTAGGAACTAGAGGGACTAAGAATGATCACACACTCTCCGACCGAGTGAAAAAGTTTCCAATAAAAATGAATAAAAAAACCAAGGTGAAAATGATATCAGTCCCAGGTACAAGGCATCCTCTTCAATCTTACAAAACTTTGCTCGAAATTAAAATGGATTGACCATCCACCCCCTCCCTTAACATTGAGTAAAATTTAGAAGATCTACCTTTATCAGCTCGTTCTCGATCGGTCCCATTATAAACGTTAGATCCACTTTCTGGCCTTTCATTTTCAAGCTAAAGTGAAGAAAGAGGAAATGTCTTCCATTTTAATGGGTCTGCCTGAGAATCGTTGCTAATGTCGCTCACCAAAACTCGATCATTTGTGTTACATTTTGTTGAATCAATTGGTAGAACTAGTGTTGTTATTGACGTTGAGAAAGTTAAATCTCTCTGCAATTTTTTTCGTACTGCTAATTTTAATATTAACGATGCATAGGCTACTCGCAACGTTAAACTAAAACAGATAACACCGATAATACCCGCTGAAAAGAGAAAACATTTATTGAAATAATCAATAATAGTTTCAAGAAATAAGAATTTCTTACACCAGTGACTAAACGGTGTTTCATAACCAGTTGCTAAGCAAAGACAAGCCAGACCCAATGATTCTAATTTTTCTTTTAATTTTCCTTCCATTGTAGCTTCTGTAAGAGGCCCTTTCCTGAAAAGAAAATTAAAGAAAACATATTAATGTGATGTGTGATGATAAACGAATCTTACGTAAAGCAAGAGTGAAAAAAGTCTTGTACATTAATAATTCCAATAAATGTT